CAGATTAGATTAGATTAGATTAATACACAGCACGGTCCCGTTGAGGAACAGCTGGACCTTCTCCGGCCTCCTGTGGACGAGCTCGCCATATTTTCAGGCTGTAGATCCACAGGCGCATGAGAGGCTTGGTAGTAGGTAGTTACAAGATGTAGGTACAGAGTAGCATCTACATGTAAGAGTCAGTTACGGGACAGGCAGTGCCGGCCAAAGCATGGGCACTTCCTGATATAGTTTGAGAACCTCGTGTACAAACTTTGCCACACGGTTGACGGTATCTCTACGAAAGATGATTTTTTGGGTGAGTTCCACTGCGTTGTGAGCATGAACTCTGCTCCGCAGCTCCGGAAAGATTGGCTCCAGGTCCACAAAGAGTGCCTCACGCAACAGCAGAAGGTCTCCGTTCCCTCGGCAGAGCAATAAAGCGTGTTCTGGCGATTCCACCGCCTGGGAGCACAGACGGCATAATCTCATGTCGCGAGGGACCGGAGCATGGTAGCGATGAACTCGTCGCATCTCCTCCAGCGCTAGACCATGGTCGCCGAGAAGCAGCCGTGTGACGGCTTTCCTATGATCTGGTACAGGTACGTGCAGGTAGTTGCGGAAGTACGAGACCACGTAGCGGAATACGCCCTTGTCCATAGGCTCGAGCCGTCCGTGTATCAAGTACAGCCGGTCCGAGTCGTTGACTTGCCGTTGAAGCCAGGTCTTAGAGGCCCGCTTCACCTCTTTTATGACCACCTCGACGTCCTCTTTGCACGTCAGGTCCAGCATGGACGATACGTTGACGGCCTCTGGGAGGTTGCGCAGAACGTACTGCAGATCCGCTAGCCACCCGGACGGCTTGCCCCTTTGGTAGAGATCCATGGAATCCGCCAGCGCAATGCGTGCATAGTGTGTGGGCGGCAGAGCGAGTACATACGCCAAGTATCCGAGCGCTAGAATTGCACGGCGGAATCGGATGGGGTCAATGCACAGCTCCGTAAAGAGGGGTGCAATCATGGACCGCGGGTTCAGGCCAAGCAGCCTTCGCAGGAACATCAGCTGAACCTCCACAAGGAGCTTGAAGCAAGCCTCTGTGACGTCCAGCGCGACTTCCGACCCAGAAATAAGGTGAGGATCGACTCGCGCAATAAACAGGAGTCGTCCTTCTCTGGGTGGTAGAGTTTCTACCAGTCGCTCCACGCCAAGTATGGCGTGTGCACACCGGCGCGCTTTAGACGCTTTGGCAGCGTAGTGTCCCGCGAAGACGTCGGGTGACGTGCTCTGGAATGTGAGGCCAACATATGTGTGCTCCGCTGTGTACCGCACGATCTCATTTCCAAGGTGAAAGATGTATGGTATCCGTGGTAGGGGCCCAAACACCATAACCCATGACTTCAACGCATTGACCACCAAGAAGTTTGCGGTGCACCATGCAAAGAAGGCATTCAGATGGGTCTGCAGACCTAGCTCCGAGTAGGAGCCAATGGCCATGTCATCTGCGTGCTCCATATGGGAGATGCGCACCCCGGCGAGGAATGGATCGTCGGCATCAGGAGGTAGGTGGAAGTCGGCCAGGAACAGGTTCCACAGGACAGGCGATGCAGGATCACCGATGAGCACCCCTGCAAGCGCTTTGTATTCCGGCGAAGTCTGGTCACCAAGTCTGACCACGTACGACATGCGGGTATACAGCATTCGCAGCCAGTCAAACAGGCTGCCACCAATCCCCATTTCGTGCAGCTTGAGCCATAGAGTGTCCTGATCCGTCGAGGGGAAAGCATTGCTGATGTCTACAAATGCGACAAACAGCGTCTTCCCTTCCTCTCTGGCCCGATCGATCATGCAACGGAGCACAAAGGCGTTGTTGTTTGTGCGGTATCCCTCTCGGAAGCCGTTCTGGGATGGCGGAAGCACGTTGTGTCTCTCTGCCCACGCATACATTCGCTTGTGGATGAGTAGCGTTAGAAATTTGAGCACACAACTTTCCAGCCCAACCGTTCGCAGGTTTGCAGGGTTGTTTGGCGCCTTTCCCTTCTTCGCAATCGCTGCCACGAGCGTCCTGAACCACACAGAGGGTCCATCACGGCTAGTGAGGCACTCATTGATTAGGTGGAGCAGGGCGTCGTTGTCTATGCCTAGGATCTGCGCATAGGACACATCATCATACCCTTTTGCACTTTTAAGGTTATGCTGCTTGATGTGATCCTTCGCCCATTCGATCTCCACGACAGTTATCGGAGAGCTAAAAGCTTGCTCATCGGACATATCCTCCGTGACTTCTGGCATCAAGCTCGCCAGGATGCGATTCGCTTCCCGCAGATCACTCGAGAATTGGGCCGGTGGCTCCTGCGGAGGGTTCATGCGAGATTCAAACTCGGTTGCAAGATCCTCCAGCGGCACATCTGGGATAGTAGGCTTCGCATCTGCGAGCTGGCGATACTTTCGCCAGAAAGGCCCTGGGTTCCGTGATGCCTCTACCAGTTCAGTCAGATGTGCGCGTTGCACTGCCCGCTTCATAGCGCGCCCCCGGTGTGCATCAGGGTCGTCCGACACCATGGCAGCAGGCTTCTGTTGTCGACTCGTCCCCGCCTCTTCCTTGTCTGCTGGGTCAGGCAGGTTTGTAGTCACTTTCGCCATCGGCAATGGGACCTCTGCAAGACCTGCTGACCCTGCTAGGATCGGCGGTGGTGGTGGGTCCGGTAGGCTATCGTCATCTACTTCGGGAAGAGTGGCCCCATGTTTCGCCATCGCATCTGCCGTGTCCCCGTGTACATTCCCTACATGAGCGCGAATGTGTTCGAGGTGCAGAGGGGCTTTGCGGGCCATTT